AAGCAAAGAAAGTGAGATAGTATTTGTGCACCCTCAACATGGGCATGTTGGACATGTTATGCATCCATTGATTGCAACGAGCGTTTACTAACAACATATCGAGAGTTCGAACGGACCTCGATAGGCTGTATACCACTACCATTGCCTCCGAAAACATACTCTCTGTTAGCCTTGGGTACTCCATCTGTTCGATCTAGTGCGTCGCAAGCCGTGAACGCAACTCCTATACCATCCCGTCTAGAAAGTAAAAGATCTGTGCAGTCTCTTCAATCTTCTCGGCCTCCTCGCTTGGGCCATCATCTCCCTTTCCCGTGGTCCCCCGATATGCTCACGCGTAAGATCTAAGCCGTCAAACGCTGATTCAGGTAGGTCCAGTGAGCCTTCATCCACCCACCCCCACTTTCGCGGTCTGGCCATCTCGGGTGTGATATCCAATCCATCATACATCTCACTCAGCATATGCTGTTCTCGTGTTTGCCTCCTAGAAGGTACGTATCTTGTGGTGGTAGAGTGTACTCTTGGAGCGTATCGAGGAAGACCGAAGTCGTATCTGTATGACGCATATTTCTTGGACCGGGTCTTGGACGGTTGCTTGAAACGTGGATTGTGATATGCTGGCTCGAATGGCGGGGATGTGTAATCAGTCCAGTCCGTATCCACTGTATATGGTTGCGTTCGCCTTGGACGCTTTCCACCACGTTGAAGATGGCAGTGGCAACAAAGACATAGAGCGGCGATAGCTATGATCAGGGGGACGAACACGGCTACGAAGATGACGCCTATGAGATCCCTGTCGTTCATCGCTTACGGTCGATGTGTAGCAAAGCTCAAACGGTGAAGGTAGGACATTGACACTAGTGTTATAACAAGAAGCCTCAAAATGGCAGTTGTACAACCAAGACTACGGTCAGGTTTGTCAATGTACTCGCGTCGTTTGGCAAACCGGACATTCGTTGTGATAGGCAAACCCTGGGCTTGTTGACGCATCTGTTACGGAACGACAGATTTGTTGGAACAACATCACAATGTTTGTGAGAGACAATTGATGCTAAAGTGCGCAGGGACTGCCAAGTTGAAATATCAGTAAAGGAATTGACTATTTAAGCTAATTATATCGTACAAACTTCATCGAGAACACTAAGCGCCTACCGCATAGACAGCTTCGTAGGCAAACCTCATTAACCTTAGACGGCAAGACCTAGTGCAGCGCCCGAAGCGTTTGCTCGACTGCGATACCCAAGCCTCCAACACCCAAAACAGTCCACAACCATTTGTTGCTTAGCTCATCGACGCTGGGCCAGAAAGCATTCTTGTCCGCTCTGAACTTCTCCAATTCGCGGAACTTCTCGGGGTGAGAAGCGGAGTATCGACGTTCTTGGTGTTTCTCTTTCTCGGCGTCGCCGCCAAAGAAGCGGAGGAAGGCGTAATTCGCGGCGGGGCCTAGGAGTTCGATAGGGGCGAGCATGTCTGAGCCGTAAAGCATGACGATGAAGGAGATGTGTACGAGGGCGTCGCCGAGGTAGCTATACGACATTAGCGAATGACATGGACTCTGGAACAGGGGTACATACTTTGGATTGCGGACAATGCTCCATACTCCTTCGCGCATGATGCCCTTGTTGCCTTCGGCCTTGAACTGATCTAGCTGGTAGTCTGCAAGTGTCTCCATCGCCAATCCTGAAGAGAACAAGCCGACAGCAAACATCTGAACAAAGGGGTGGTAGCCTGTCATGACAGCACCCTCGTGTCGGAATGGTGCGGTAAACGGCAGACTGATGAGCATCTGGAAGAAAGCCTCGGGTATGAAGACTTTGAACAATGCGCTGTTCCAGAAGCCCTCCTCCTTCTTGACTTCGGCATATCGTGGGTCGTCCTCGCCTCGTTGAATCGAACGGTTAACGATGCGGTAAAAGAGACGCCCTCCCCATAGTGTAACACCCGTGAGGATAACACGCTCGTGCCATGATAGACGACTGAATGCTTGCGAAACGGTGTAGCCTTGAGCAAGACGGCGTCCAACGGCAGACCACCAGGCGTTCACGACCTGACCACTGGGCCAAAGCCAGTCCTTGGCTTCGACGCGGTTTGTGTATCGCGCAGCTCCGTACGCAATGATGGCCAAGCCAGAATGCAGGGTGAGTGATGGGACAAGCGTGTCTTTCAGGATGCCTACATCGAAAAGTGAAGCATTGTGGACATGGACCTTGGAATGAGTCGTATCCACATAAGCCGCAGGTACTGAGGCCGCTGAGCGGTTGGTGGCGGGTCTTGGGCTGCTGCCCGAGCCGGGCTGCAGGTAGAAGTCGTGAGGTTTCTGTTCAGCAACTTGAACGCGAACGTCCGGAGGACGCGTTGGGTCGCTCGACGATGAGCTGAACCAGCCAGACGCCATGATATGAGCAGTGTCTGTCAAACAAAGGGGTGTGAGCTGAGGTTGCGCGAACCGTCACGAGCAGACGGCTTTAACGCTCTCGCTGCTGGAGCTTTCCCCGCATTCGAACGGAGGCAAGGCGCGTGTTGGCCTGCATCTCATTCGCCCGGTTGCAGGTGGAATTTCATCCGTCAATGAAGTAATCCACTTTGACCCAATGGTGTGGTAGTGTTTAATCAGCCAACCGGGCTGTGTGCAGTGGTGTGAGGTTTGTCGCGTCCTGTTTGCGTGGTGAAATGAATTCGCGTGACGAAAGTCCGTGATGTCATCAAGGCCCATGCTTCAACGCCAGTGAGGCCCACATGTTTGACTACTAGGTGCGGCAAGTGCACGCGGAAATGCCCCTCATGCCGAGATACTATCGTAAGGCTCGAGCTAAAAACATATAGAAAACACCAACAATTGACACTGTTTTAATTGTCTTGAATGCAGTCATGGCTGATAACAAGCCCCATACTTTCAACCCGGAAAATGTACCGGAACCTCCACCAACGTACGACCAAGTCTGCATCACTCCAATAGTGCCGTCGTCCAAGTTGATCACCCTTGCTGGTCAAACGGGCCTTCGAAAAGACCATAGCATCCCATCCGACATTAAAGAGCAAGCAAAGGGCGCTTATGACAGCATTCACAAGTGCTTGGCGGCGGCTGGAGCTACACCACGAGACATTGTACGCTATGAATCTTGATCAAACACTTTCCAGAGCAGTGTTGGCCATGTCACTAACTTTAATGTAATTAGGTGCATGTTCGACATTACATCGTCAAGGAGACCGGCAACCCGGAGCAGAATCGAAAGGATGTAGTAGATCGTGGCTGGGGAGATATTTGGATCGAATATATGGATAGGGAGGCGGATGGGCATAGACCGCCTGACACGGTTGTAGGTGTTGCAAGTCTGGCGAAGAATGAACTATTGTATGAGTGTGAAGTTACAGCTATGATTAGCTAGTCGCTGTCTCGATGTGTCCTCCATAGACGTGCCGAGGTCAGAATCAGTACACGTTGAGATCAAGTCCATTGGTCTTACAGATAGCTCTGAAAACGAAGACAGACTGAACGTCTTTGAAATACTTCTGTATACAAGAAGAGTTTGTTGTGCAAGATGTTACGCGCCGTCGGCAAGTTCTGGAAGTAGTAACAGACTGACAACCGTTGCAGGCGGATGGAGGGGCACGATCGGCTGTACCTGCCATTCAGGGCTTAATGCGACTGGTCGCGGGCATCACCACCGGCTCGCAAAGGAGATAAGCACGTTACTTAGGTATATTGTTAATTGAAGTAGCTTTGCTCGCTTTTCTCATATACTTCGATCTCTTCCGTTCATGTTCATGATGGCGCCTAAATCGTTGTTGTTTCTGGTATCGTCTCTCAAGCTCCTCGCAAGCGCTCGCGATGTTACCTTTCCACCAATTTCTGGCTATTCGTCGCAGCAGATTATTCCTCAGGGTAATCTTGAAATGGACATCACCCAAGCAAAGTTTGCAGGGCTGATGACATACGCCAATTTACCGTATGTGCACTGTTTAGCAGCAGAAGGCCAGGATGTGGAACCATTCGACATCGCAATTCTTGGTGCACCGTTTGACACTGTAGGTCATGTACATTGTGTGCGCGAGATTCCGCATCGGAGTCGGGCGCATCGCAACAGTCAAGGTTAACAACGGGCAGGGCGTTACGGCACGGCCTGGAGCGCGCTTCGGCCCGAGTGGCATCCGGCAGGGCTCAAGTCGGATATCGCCAGACGCTGCTTGGTCAATATATACAGGTATGTCGTATTATGATGAGGGTGCGCGTATGGGCGTTCATCCCGCAAGCACGGACTTAGAGCGTTATTCAAAACAAAGCAACAACGAGCGGCACTTGTTACACCACGTCATCTTGGCAAGTTGTGTTCTCGAGGCGTCCATTCGTGCGCTAGAATTTGTCCTGTGTACCCTAATCTTGGTCGCAGTTCCTTGTTGTCTTGATGATGCTGCTCCGTTCGCTCCTGCATGAAGCCAACATTGCATCGAAAGACACTAATCATTGTGACAAAGCGACTTCGTAACGTAGTGACTGACGGGGCTCAGGCGAGAACGTCTTCGCGGATTGGGCAAAAGTTATCGACTGTGGCGACGCTCCTTTAACATTTTTGGTAAGACACTGGAGGAACGACCAAGGAAGACTATAAATAACGTGTCTGGAAGGACAACACTGCGGCCTTGAAGCAGCTTGATAAGGCGCACAAGGTTGGTGAACGCTCGAAATGACTGGTTCAATTGTCTGACGACCATCGCCAAGATCGTGTCCTCAAGAGCGACCAACTCGAGCGAGCGCACGACACCAAAGATTGTGACGCTAGGTGGTGATCATACCACAACCTTATCGGCCCTTCGATCGACTCATCGTCATTGGGGGCCGGTGAGCGTAATACACTTCGACAGTCACATCGGTAGGTTCGCGGCTCGTTTTGTTGAGCTTCACTGACAGCTGCGTAGACACCTGGGACCCAGAAGTACTAGGTAAGCCGAAGTGCTCACCGATCTGATCAGAAACTGACATAGTGAAGGCGGAGGTATCTCCCATTATGCGTGAGTCCGAATATCAGAACGTACCCTGCATATCGCTGATACAGTGCAACAGTGGTGTCAACCATGGAACATTCTTGCACATTGCTCATGAGGAGGGCTTGATCCGGAATACTAGTATACACGCGGGCATCCGAGCTCCTGTGGTACGGCCGAAAGGTGATGTGCGCAACGACCTTCGATGTGGTTTTGAGATGGTCAAGGCCCGGGCAATCGATCGACTGGGTATAGCTGGAATCATCGACAAGCTCAAATCTCGCGTCGCTGGAACGAAGGTCTACATCAGTGTCGACATAGACGTACTCGATCCGGCATTCGCACCTGGTAAGTCATCAAACAAAGTATAGCAAGGACGATCATCTCCGACCGAGCATTGTTGACGTCCACTCTTAAAATACTCTGCAACATTGTGACTGACACATGCAAATAGCTACGGGAACTGCCGAAGTCGGTGGATGGAGCACACGAGAGCTTTTATCCATTCTAGACGGTCTCGAAGGACTAGACGTCGTTGGGGCAGATGTTGGTACGTATTTTCCGAGCCCCGTTGACTTATTAGTAAGAGCACTAGAAGCTGACTGAATGTACTCGCCGCAGTGGAAGTGGCTCCCATTTACGATAACCCGGGTGAAACCACCGTATTGGCCGCTGCAGAGGTCGTTCACTCTCTAATTGCTTTGATGGTGAAGTCGCCATCTTAGCGATGATACCGTGATAACCCAATGGGGGTTGTGACACGGGTAGAAGTCAGGTGGGTTCGTAGGCAGAACGATCTCTGGCTGTGTCGTTTTGTTGGGTATCGGGGCAGCTTAGCAGGCACACTATCAGCCATCGTACTTCACCATGCTCGACACGGTGCCTACCATCTCAGAACTTGAGAATGATTTGATATCATCGTACGACTATAAATAGTACACTTCCTCGGACACAGACTGAATGTGATGGATTCGGTTTGCTTCCAAGCTTTGTGATCTCATCGAATCGCTTCTCCACATTTTCAGTGCAGTGCATGTGACACTCAAAGCGCCTTTCAGTTGACTCAGTAGAACCAAGTTGCTTTGAACTGCTACATTACACGGGCCGATAGTAGGGCGTGTGCTAGTCGACGATTGGAGACATGGACCGTCTAGAGATTGGCGCCATCAGAAGGTAACCGTCCGACTATGTTGTAACGCTTGCTGAAGAATGTATGCCAATCATTAAGAACCTGTTTTTCCTTCTCGGATAGTCCGGAGTAGTCCGATATGCAGTCTTCAGGCTTGAGAGAAGACAGACCGAGGGCACGGTTAGGCTCTTTCCCCGCAAACACTGGGACGATAAGTTAGTCTTCTGCGGTACAACTTGGTGCTACATCTCAGGCGACAAACCGTGATAGCCCTTCCCAGGTGCGTATGTCTCCTTGCCGCTCACATCGAACACGTCACCCTGTTGATGGTCAACTTCTTCTGCGCTTGCACGAGAAAACCATTGAAGAAAGGCAGCTATAGTTACCTTGATTGCGACAAGAGTTGGTAAACCCTCGTTTGTGCCTGCTGGTGGTCAGTGCCTGGCCACTCAAATACCAGCCAGTCGCTGCGAAGCCGTACCATCACACTTTGCAAGGTAATCGCGTTCAATGACATCATCCTTCGGCGGGTTTAGTGCGACGGGTTGCTTTGGCGCAAACTTCTCCTTCTTCGGCTGCTCTGTAGAGTCTGACATGGTGGAGGTCTAAATATCGGTATAAATGATGCAGAATGTCGGATGGGAAGTCACGATGCTGGCCTGTCTGCTGGGCAGGCGCCCAGGTGGGGCTCCACGCCCATGCCGCGCTAGGTTAGTCGCACGAGCCTCATGTCATTTCCCGAGGTTGTCACGAACTTCCTCATTGCACACGCCACGACCAACCACTCTGTGACGCCACGCGTGTCGTGATCAGGCACCACATACGTGAAGTTGATGTTCGCAGGTTTCGATACCGGCATCAACGCGCCTCTCGGAAGAGCCGTCAGTAGTTACGAGCACCATGTCTCAACTGCCCATTGGAGTCACCCGCCGTTCATATGAGGCCATATGCCTGTTACCATATATTTCGTGATATGTAGGTACAATACTGATAGTGTACAGTGAAGATCGCAGCCACAGAACATGGCGCCCAAACTTTCCACTCAGGACATTACAAGCGTTAGGATTCGCCGCAAAAGCAATTGAACAACCGCCCAGGCGTGCAAACAATCACGAAACCCCGACAAACATGATGAAAATCCGATCCGACTCTTCACTATCTTGTAGAGGCGCACCTGCTTTCTCGAGCTGATAGAAGACCATCGGTCGAAACCAGGTGGTGGCTATTGCTCGCATTGCATCCATAGAACCAATTATCTTCCGCTGGCGACGGTGTACGCTGACTGGGACGTATGCACTGCTGGATCGTACTGGCTCTGTCTGACACAGTTGGTGCAGTTTGTTTCCCGTTGATCCCATGTTCTTCTAACGTTCCAAGCGCCAAAACATTGGTGGCCGGGATCGTTGCGTGCGAAATGGCAGTGCTGCATGAGTCGATACTCGTTATGGCCACACGGAAACTGGATCTTTTCGTAGAAGCACATCTCAAAGGCGCTGATGGTATGACTATCTGTCCGATCCTGTGTTCGGGAACTACGGCCATTGTCAGCTCGCTGGCCGTGGTGGAACCTGGCGAACTTACATCCAAAGCACGTGTGCGTGTCTGTCTCGTACTCGAGATCGGCGATTGTGGACACAGATTCCAGCTGGATCATGAACAAGCTTTTGGTGTACGGAATTCCAGAAGACCGTGGAGAAAATCTGGGGAAATCTGGGGGTTGCACTTCCAAGGAGAATGTCACGAACCTTTATACGCCACCAGCCCACGTCACCGCGATCGCCATACGCTTTTCCCCACGGTCCTTTAGCCGCCATTTCCTTTGAGTAATCTCATGGACTAGAACAATACCTTGTCGCGGTAAAGTCACACACAAAACGCGCAAGCCCTCTCAAGCCGATAGATTGCTCGCCACACTGGAGACCTTGTCTAAGCTTTACGCTCGGCGCGCACATACAGTTTTGTCGTCACAAGTCCTTTGTTACATTGCATTAGCGTGGAAGAAGCATGCACACTTCTCATACGTAACAAAGAGGTATGGGTGTGGTGCTGGAGCTACGTGAGCCCGAGTCAGTTTGTATAACTATCCTGGGCCGCATAGATGTAAACTGCATATGCAGTAGACCCTATTCATGCATCTGTTCCACGAGCCCGGAACTTGGTCCCAGAACCCGGTAAAAGACTTCCTCAACATTCGCTATCAGCATTGACAACATCTCCCGCTAGTTTGCCCTAATCTGGTCCAAGCTAGAAGCAAAGGCTAGTCTATCTCATTACTTTCTCTCAAGGATATCGCATGCTTCCAACCCCGATATTGTGCTCGAGATATGTCCGAGAGACAACAACATGTACCGTTCTGACGGAGGTCCAGCAAAGGTCAACTGCAGCTCCATGCACGGTCGTCTCCACTACTGGAAATGTCTCCCAAGCCAATACGAACCTGCCTTGACATGCAGGATACATCTTGAGGTATCAGCGCTTGCAATTGTTCACTTACTCTTCCAGTCAAATTACCAGTTGGTTGGAATATGTGAAGCAAACCATGAACTATTCAGCACACCCTCGCTGCATCCACTTCGCCGACTAATAGCCAGTACTCGAATCGAGCAAGTAGTCCTGCTACAGCTGCCTGCAGGTCTTGCATGGGTAGGATAGATCTTCATACACAGAAATCGCCCGCCAGCCAAAACAGATAACTGGATTTGGCTTGTTGCTGCACGCTGTGGTTTACGGTAACTGCACGCGGATGCGGGAGTCAACTTCCCTATCTAGTGCAGTCATACTGCGGCGAAGACCATGTTGAACCGTCGTCTACATAATCTCAAATTCTCCGTATCCGCTGTAAGCATGCTTCCTTCCCCGCTTGCTTCGCAATCACTAGCCGCTTCCCCGTTGTACCCCCACATCGTCGAAACACACTGGCTGCTACAAACTTGGAACCCCAAGCCATGAGCACATCTGAACACGAGTGACTGGCACGATCGTTGAGTGGGCGTTCCATATCACCTTGACAACGGCGTGAACCCTTTTGGCTCGCTCTTCTCAATCGAGCGGTATCATGGACACCGCGTCAGTAGAGCGATGTTGACTGCCACTGGAGAATGTATTTGTGCGGAATTTAATGATGACCTGACAGATGAAGAAGCCTCCGTTCGAGGAATTATGGCATGCTAACAGCACAACAGGTCTCGCGCGGAAACGGTATTCCAACCGGCATAGAACGTCACACCGGGGTATTCTTACTTCTACTTTGCAGGCCGATGCATGCTCGTGTAACAGCTGCATACAAACTACAGCATATAACATCGACAAGGCTCTTCGCGTGGGAAGAGCCTGTGCTACCCGTGAAGAGTTCGCGGATGCAGTGATGCAGTACGCACAACCTTTCGGTGACTTGGCTGTAACCCGAAAAGCAGACGATCCTGTGTCCTCACGAGCCCGAAATGGTGTAGACAAGCGAACTCAGCATGCCATATGGCACAAACTGAGTAACCCGACATAAGGCCATGGTTTGAAGGAATTTGGGAGTACGCCTAGAGGGATAAGCTCTTGCTCAAGATGAGTGGTTGACTCTAATGACTGGTTCTCCAAAGCCGGTCTGAGCTGAAACCAAGGACTATGCTGACAGCTCGATCTCGAGGCGACCATGATCTCTACTCGTATTGGATATGTACAATAACCTAATGTACTAGTGAAGTAGTTGGTAGGCTGGTATTGTAGTCAATTATGGTGTAAGGAACGTTGTGACGTGTTTGTCCTTTGACGATACACACTACTCATGATGAACTACAAGACGAGACACAGCTGACTGGAACCGACGATCGAGTGTCCTCGATACACAGGATCGATCGCGATCGATCGTATCTCACTGCGCGATTGCACGTTCGGACTGAGCAGTGCGATCAACTTTGTTCGAGTTTACTGACTCGAAGAGAGCATTGAAGCAACATCACCACGCCCCTGTGCGTGTACAGTGTTTACGAGTCGTGGTGCACCTACGGAGCTTTTACTGCGGGCGGGTGAACCCGCCTGGGCGCACCTTCCGGGTATTATAGTGGAGTCAGTACATGCAAGCTCCCCGTCGATTCGTCGTCTCGTCATCTCTTCGACGTCGACACTGACACCGCATTTTAAGGTCCACACGAGAAGTGAAACCCCGATGTTCCAATTTCGGCGCACTCTGCCGAGGGCAGAAAGCTTCAGTCAGTCAGACACGCTTGGTTCATTCCGTCCAATACCGGTACGGTTATTTTGCTGGATGCGTCGTTTGAGCCCACTATATACATGAATGATGAGTACGAACGGAGCAATATAACATCCAACAATACTGTGCTATGCGTCACCAGGGTATATCATCGTCTATCACGACATACATCGTCTCGAGTCCGGGTCACGCCTCTTCTGTTCTTGGGTCCACCTCAGTCGTACCGATAATCTTCCCTGTAAGACCTGCACCGAGACGGCCTAGATGGGCTACGCCAACATGATTTGAGACAAAACCGGAGAGTTCGAATCGAGCTGTCGAAGCAGCGGCTCCGCGGGAAGAGACGAGACTGCGGCAAGCAAAAGCGGGTACGCGTTGTGAAGTGAAGGGGAACTCACCGTTCAGACTTTGCTAGGGGAAAGATGGCGGGTTGAAGGTGGACACCTTGGCTGTCCGTCATGTTCAGTATCACGAAGAGTTTGGGAACATCGCGGAGACGGGCGGTAGAGAATACATTCATAGAGAACTTGGAACAACAATTACTTTTCCATTAACATCGACGCCGTCGCTAATGCCAACAAGGACGTTTAGCACGATCACGCTTTACCAGCCTTTCTCGCCTTCCGCGCTTGTCTCTTTTTCGCGATGATTCTTGTCCGCTGCGCCAGCTTTCCGTCTTTGCCCTTTACTGCACCGGCATCCGCGCCAGCTTCCGCAGCACCCGTACCCTGCTTTCCCTTGCCGCTGTCCTTACCCTTGCCCGCCTTCTGACCCGCAGCGCTAGAATCACGCTTGCGCTTCTTGCCTTTGGTCGCACCCGGCTCGGCATCATCGCTGTCAGCCTCGCCATCAGCCTTCGACTTTGGTGGCTCTCTGGCCTTCTCCTCGCGGTCTGAGCGCCTATTAACAACATTGGCGTTTTCGATGGCAAACTCGACAATGAGACGTTTCCGCTTGTCTGCGAGTGCTTCTTGAGCAGCCTTCTTGCTCTTTGGCGTGGGGCCAGACTTGATCTTGTAGTCCACGGCGTGGCCATTGAGCCATCGAAGACCCATGAGCGCATTTCGGTGTGTGTAGTACTCGATGAATCCATATCCTCTGCTTCTTCCAGCACCAGTGTCCTCAGAAACTTTGCTACCAGCGGGCGTCTCAAAGACAACCTTGGCTTGCTTGACAATACCCTTGCCCTTCTTCTTACGCATCTTCTCTGCGACAAGCATTTCTTGACCGCCACGAATGACTTCCTCTTTGTTAAGCTTTTGTCGCTTACCCTCCTTGACATCGGCAGCAAAACCAACGACGGCGCTACGAGCAAGCTGCTTCAGGTCCTTGGATGTGATGCTGCGAGGAATGTTGCGTATGGAGAGACGAGTGAGAGATAAATGGAGCGATGGGTTCTCCTGGATTTGCTTACGGCGCATTGTTGCGCTCTCTTCGCGCATCTTGATTTCAGAGGGCGAGAGCTTCTGGTAGAGTGGCGAGTTGGACGCAATAGTTCCTTCGGAGAGAAGGTAGAGGCGACGCTTGTCTTTGTCTCGGCTAAAGCGCGAAGCAGCGCCTTCCGCTGTCAGACGCGTAGCTTCATTCTTGTCAACTGCGCGGGAGATTTGTAGGATGCGACCGTCGATGGTGTATTTGCCTGTTGGGTCGGCGTCTTCGTCTTCGAGCACAGAGTGTGTGACAGTGATGGTGGAGCCGTCCTTCTTGTCGAGGTTCTTCTTTTGTAGCTTGACACGTGGGACACCTTTAAGGCAGTTGATCATGTCTTCTTCTGCAAAGAATGAGACGAATCCTGTGCCTTTCGGTCGTTCGGTCTCGCGGTCGACCACGACACGGGCAAATCGGACGCCACCGAATTGCTGGAAGTGCTCTTTGAGACGTTCGTCGTCAACTGTGAAAGGCACATTGCGCACGAAGAGAGTGTATTCCTCACGCTTCGGTCGGTTGTCCTCTTGTTCAAGCTCCACTCCGCCATCTTCGTCATCCTCTGACATGTCCTCGTAGTCGGTGTTGCTATCGTCTTCGTCGTCGTCGCTGTCGTCCGCTTTGTCGTCGTCGTCGTCGTCGTCGTCGTCGTCATCGGAACTGGCAGCAGAATCCTCGGCGTCTTCCATATCTTCATCTTCGTCTTCTCCGTCTGGTTTGGCATCATCTCCCTCCTGTGCAGTCTTTTGCAGGCTCTGCCATGTTTCCCGGTCCACAGCCCAGTCCACAGCGATGGGTCTTTCATCGACCTCCTTGCCGTTCAGCTCTTGTATCGCCCTCTCCGCGTTCTTCTTCCCACGTAGCGAGACGAAACCGAAACCTCTCAATTCACCATTGGGCTTCTTGGGCAGATTGACAAAGTTGACTTTGCCATAGCTTCGGAACAACTTTTGTAGATCGTCCGGCGTCTTAACGGTCCATGGCAGATTGCGAATGATCAACTTTGGTGTCTGCGCATCCTTGATCTGCTGCTCGCGCTCCGCCTTGGCCCTGTCACCAGCCCTCGGCCTCTTCTCTTCGCCTTCACGTTGTCTCGCCTCGGCAAAGTCGACCTTGATCTTCTTGCCCTTGATCTCCGTATTGTTCAGCTCCTCCTTCGCTCTTTGCGCATCTTCGACGTCGGCGAATGTTACGAAACCGTAGCTTTTCGATTCCCTGGTTTCCTTGTCCAGAACAACGAGCGCGTTCTTGATTGGGTACGATTCGGAGAAGTATTCGGTAAGGTCTTCGGTCGTAACGGTGGGCGCAAGTCCGCGAACGAAGAGTTGTCGGCGCGCAGCTTCTTTGGGCGCCGCTGTAGACGAATTGGACGGTTGCTCGGCGTCGGCGGTTGCTGTGACGGCTTCTGCTCCATCGAGCGAGAGACGCTGGCGCTTTCTTCGGGGAGCCATTGCAAATAGATGAGGCGAAAATCGTTATATGCAGTTCTGGTCTTCGGACATGCCTTGCAAAAAAAGTTCCAGTATCTCGGCGCACAGATCCACCGCGCCGGCCTTGGCGGCTGCACGGAAAAGTGGAGCCAGACCCTTCCAGCTGGAGGCCTCGACGGAGACACCTGCGCCTGCCTCATCGTCTGCTTCCAAGCTGGATCTCCTCCCTTCAACTTCACCCACTTTCCTTCACCGTTCAGACTTGGGTCCATTCGAGTCGAATTTCGGATCGCGATCTGCTGCATGAGTTGCTTCGCCCAACTGGGGAAGCCGAGGCGTCAGCCTGCACATCCCCACTCAACCTGGGTCATGGGGACTCATATCTTCGCGCATGGCTATCTATGGTTGCACGTTACTCGAGCGATGCCGTTGTTGACACAATTTGGAGCACACAAGAGCATGCGTTTTTGAAATCCCATGCTGCCGACTCGCCACGCTATCAACGTGCATCAATCACGTAACCGCATAGGAGCTGACCTAGGTATGCTTACAACAACGGGCTGCGAGAACAACAAAGTCATGGAAGCAAAAATTGATAATCCAGGCGCAAGTATCTTCATGATTACTCACATCAATTTGTTATCAGGGCTATCCCTTCGCGCATCACACGACTTCGCGGTCTGAACCGTAAGCCTTCACCGTTGTTGTTGCTCCAGGACGGAAACGGCCTTTTTCGGAAGATGCTCCGGTTATGTGGAATGGCCTAAATTGTGAAACGTTTCTGCTCTGAACAATTCAATATTCCGCGGGATTGATACAGAGCGGCAGTCGTGTCCGTTGCACCTTTCCTAACGACGAGGTGTGTTGAACAGCAAGATCTGCCTTGTCTACACCCCATAGCGTTAGCACCCGGCACTCAACGTCTGCACGCAATGCCATGGATACTGCTCCTTTGACACTTCTGACACCGAAGCTACACCGGCGCAATCAAATGGCTTATCAGGCGTCGCTTAACTACTGCCCAACGTATCCTAGCCTCCCCCCGCGGCGGAGTGTGGTGCCGCCCATGTGAAGCCCATGGCACACACACAAGAGGGGTAAGCGCCGAAGAAGGATCTCTCAACATTTTGTCATCTTTCGAGAATTCAGAAAACTGTTCAACAATGTCGCGTCGAAGCTCTGGGGCAGGCGAGAGCGACGCGCTTTTGAGCGCTGGCGAGGTTATCGCATCTTCTTCTCGCAATTATTCCACAAACGATAGCACGACTCCCACCGAAGGCGATATTAGAAGAGATGGAAAGTTGCCGGGCGAGGACAAAGAGAAGCCAGTTGACCACAATAGATCTAACGACCCGGAGCGTTCACGATCTTTGGCCGAGGAAATTGGAGATGAGGGTATCTCTTTGTACGAGAAGAAATGCATGCTCATCAACCGCGAAATTGATCTCATGGGAATGGGGCGGTACCAGTGGTCGATTTGGGCGCTTTGCGGGTTCGGCTACATGATCGATTTGATGTGGGCACAAGCCTTCGGTCTCGTTCTATCGCCAATCCAACAGGAACTTGGCTTTGGTGCTGATCAGACTGGAAAGTTGTCCACTGCCTTTTCCATCGGACTCACAGCCGGTGCATTTGTGTGGGGAGTCCTCGTGGACTTGATCGGGAGAAAGGTCTCTTTTAATCTGACAGTCTTTATTGCTTGTATATTTGGGACATGCATCGGCGCCCCGAGCACTTACAACGCCATCTTGGTTCTTACAGCATTTACTGGGTTTGGTGTCGGAGGCAACATTCCCATTGACACTACAATTACCCTGGAAGCCACTCCACAGAGCAAGCGTTACCTCCTTCCGCTATTATCGATCTTCCAGCCCATTGGTGTTGTCATCTGTTCCGTCCTCGCCTACGGGTTCATCCCAAACTGGTCTTGCAGTCCAAACTTTTCGGAAGGAGATCGAGCGTTGCCTGCCTGTAGTGCTGTTGCTACAGGGGTACAGTGTTGTTCAAGAGAGGATAATATGGGATGGAGGTATCTCCTCTTCACGCTAGGGGGAATCACCATACTCGTCTTCGTCTTACGATCGGTCATTTTCACCTTCCAGGAATCGCCGAAGTTCCTCATATACCGTGGCAAGGATGCCGAAGCAATCGAGGTACTGCACACCATGGCTCAATACAACGGATCCAAATGCGACCTCGTTCTGGAGGATCTTGTATCCCTAGAGCACGAGTTTGATTCAGATCGAAGTCGTGGACCTATGCTTGGAGGTGGTGTCAAGCAGCTCAAATCTACATGGACTGAGAAACTCAAACTGGAAGGCGATCGCTTCAAGCTTCTATTCTCGAGCTTTCAGATGACAAGGTTGACGCTTTTGGTATGGTTGACGTACATATGCGATTACTGGGGTTTTACCGTTGCTGGTGAGTTCCACGCCTATCTCGCTCGATGAACATATGTTGACCTACAACGCAGGCACTTACCTCCCACAAATCCTGGCTGTGAAGAATGGCGCCCTCGACCTTTCTCTCCGCTACACCTACCGCTCTTACATCTTCATCTACCTTCCTGGAGTCCTCGGCGTTGTTCTTGGCACCTTATCTTACCGCGCATCGCGGGTTGGTCGCAAATGGACAATGGTCGTTTCTTCTGCATTGATGGGCATCTCCATCTTCCTTTTCAGCAGTGTCAACTCAGCAGCTTCGAACATAGGCTTCAATGTCATGGAGTACTTCTTCCAGTCTATGTTTAACTCCGTCTTGTATGGTTGGACACCTGAGGCCTTCCCAGCACCCATCCGAGGAACAGCTTGCGGCATCGCGAGTTTCTGGGGCAGGCTGTTTGGTATCGTCAGCCCGCTCATTGCGCAGCATCTATATGCGGGGGATGGCGCTGGAAGAGACATCAACAGCGTATTATACCTTGCTGGAGGTGTGACATTGGGCTGCGTCATCACAACGGCACTGTTGCCCAGCAATCTCGTAGGTCGACAGAGCCTGTAGAGGTGCGGATACATGAAGGGGAGGAAGCTTGTATTTCATTCAAGGCACATGGGTCCTTAGGGATCTTACATGGATGTCATGCCTCGACAGGAAAAGATTCGGACGTAGATAGGGACATTTGTGAAGCGTTCGCCACTGTAGATACCCGCTACAATACGTAGCATCCATTACTAGTACGAGACAAGCAATATATGGGTAAAGCAATCAAAACAGCGAGTGTCTCAGTCGATCTCATGTGCCCGGCCAGCCGGAAGGCTGACTTCACAGAGCTCGTGCTATTTCTCTAGTATTCGCATGTTTCTCGTTAAATTGACGTAACCCAATACGGTCCGCTTATACTCCTCAACGCCGTCGATGCTCGTATCGTCAAGATCATAACTTCGTCTTTCCTGTCATTTCTGCTCTCCTTTGTTCCATTACGTACCCACTCGCAACCGGATTGTAACCCTGACTAGCGACTTGTGGTATAGGAAACGGCGGTTTCTTCAGGTTCTGGGTGAAGAAGACTGGATGCCGTATTGCGCTGTCGTACACGGGTGTAAAGAAGGTGGCTGGTGTTTGCGGGGGACCGAAAGGTGGCATGGCTTCGATTTGGGATCGCGGTCTTACAGGATTCGTAGGCGAGCCTGAGTGTCGTGTCGTAGACTGCTGGGGGACCTGGGATGGCGCGTGGCCGGCGCGTCGTTGTTGGTGCGCGTATGAGGGTGCTGAGGACTGCTGGAGAGGCTACATCATGTCAGCAAGCATTACGGAGTTACGATAGAAAGCGGCGGACCTTTGGCCTCGAAGGCTGCAGAGTAGAGATCATGTCAGGTTGCTCGCGCGAGAACGACCCAGCCAACTCTCTATCCGTCGCAATAACGATGCGGACCCTCAGCTATCACGTACCTCGGCAGAGTGCATACAGTCCATCTGACCATGCCCGTGCCAAGACATGGCAAGGCCTAACGCCAAAGGGTAATTTTTTTAAGGTGGCAAGGCCTTAGTATGCCACCTAAGGGAAAATTTCTACAATTAATCCTTAATTAATCCTAACTTAAACAAAATATAACTTTCTTAATTTTATATATTTTAAAAAACTTTATATTATAAAGTTGTAGAGCTTAATTATATATATATTTTTATAATATAAATCTTTTTAAAATAATAAATATCTATAAAGTTAGAGTGTGTTTTAGGTAGGATTAGTTAAGGATTAATTCTGAATCGATTCGTGCACAGAGGCTTGGCATGCCATGTCTCGGCGTGGCCATGGTCAGATGGCCTGCATCCTGCTCGGCAGACAGCGACCGCGCGCGACGTCATTCCTACTTCGTCGCGGACACGGACACTTTTCCGCTGCGGCAAACACCACCCAATCCAGACCAAATATCCACGAGCATGAGCGCAACAACATCCATCTCTCGACATGCGCAGAACGCAAGCGCTGTTCTTTGCAGCCACGCGATGCGCAAGCCTACATTCTTCACGTAGACTCTATTCCTCGCCGCCTATCGTCAAAATCGCCAATGGCACATTCTACCGCCAGCACCCTTCTTCAAAGGGCGATAATGCGCCTTCAAATCCATCATTGTTCCCCGATTTGACGCTATCTCTACCCTCTTTCTCGACACCAAATCAGCATTGGGCGATTTTGAGCCCATCTTCCGACATCCGCACCGCATTTCTACAAATACTTCGCGGCCAATTACTTTGTTTCCCTCCAACAGCGCGGTCTTTCCCTTACCTCCTCACTCCAGCCATCGCCGAGGAAAGGCCACGCCTCCGCTTCCCAGAGCGAGCCATCGAGTATGTGGGCTTTGATGTGGAGCGGAAAGCTTTCGGTGGCGCCTATCTATCAGCACGGTATGAGTCTCTGAGAGAAGATACGGACTTCACTGTCCAAAGGTATCTGACCGGTATCGTAACGATGAACCCTGGAGAAGAGGAACTAAAGGCAAAGAGTGTGGATGAAGAGGATATGACGCGGGTTATGCGTGATTTAGAACTGGAGAGATTCATTGACAAACCAGTCAGCATGC